TATAAAATCCATAAAATGCTGGTTAGCGGCCTATGCTCCATTGAGGGTAACAGGCGTAAGTAAGTAAGTAAGTAAGTAAGTAAGTAAGTAAGTAAGTAAGTAAGTAAGTAAGTAAGTAAGTAAGTAAGTAAGTAAGTAAGTAAGTAAGTAAGTAAGTAAGTAAGTAAGTAAGTAAGTAAGTAAGTAAGTAAGTAAGTAAGTAAGTAAGTAAGTAAGTAAGTAAGTAAGTAAGTAAGTAAGTAAGTAAGTAAGTAAGTAAGTAAGTAACATAAAATGCTACTTAACTACTAAATATCCATGTTAATTATTAAATAGTAACTAAAATGATGAAATTTTCTTTGATTGAGTTAATTGAATTTTAATATTTGCAAAATAAAATTTGATTAGTTTCCATGGTTGAAATCATGAGTCAATTGAAGCTAGACCAACATGGAAAACTTGTAAGCATTGGACGACCGTTTCATCTTATTGTGCGATTCCTTAGCAGTGTGCATCCACAATCCCACCTCGCGAGATTCGAACCCGGAACCTATCAGTCTCGCGCGCGAGCGCTTAATCTCTAGACTACTGAGTCGGCATCCAACGGTGTTAATGTCTAATTTCAACCGATCCACAAAATTGGGCGACATATCCACCATTTTCTTCAATGAGTTACCATCTCACAACAGACCTGTTCGTTGCTTCTGACTAGAATAATGGGTGAACCAGAGAGTCTTTATTATATTTAAGAAATGAAACCTATACTCAAGTTCATTGTCATTTTAAGTGTTTTCATAGAGTATACTTCATATTAAATACTTTAACATTAAATGATGTTCTTCTCAAGGGTACTGAAGATTGATTTCATTAAGATTTTAAATATCTATTATGTCCCGATAACAATAGTGAATAGTAACTTTGGGATCCATTTATGGACCAATATTATGCATATGCTCTTTATCGTTTAGTGGCTAAATAACTAAACTATTCATATTCGTGTCCCCTCATTGTAAGCTTTATTTTGACCCATAGACTATTATTATACGATTTATCACTCATGAATTACACCCAGTCTACTAATTACTGTTCCCCCTATTCACAGTCACATTTGGTTAAATCTTGTACACATATTATTTTCTAATTTGTGGTACGATGTGGTCTATTTGATTAGCATATAAACTCAGTATGTTTTTAATAAAAGGATTCGTAGCACAGAGGCTGTTCTGGACATAATTGACTGGGCTAGGCAGAAGCACGACCGACAAGTACTCTAGATTGTTCATATGGTTTTCGTGTATCATTGGTCTGATCGATAATTCGCTGCTCTCTAATTGGCAGTATTATCATGTTATATATAAACAGGGTATCCACTCGGCCACAAGTTATAACATATACAGAAAGCTACGATATCTTGTCATTTAATATCATCAAGTTCAGATGATTGACTCTTCAACTCATAATTGTACAGCTTGACTAATGATCAACTTAAGAAAGCCTGAAGAACTAGATGATATTATTATCCTTCATAAATGTGAAGGTTTAATGAACAATTATATGAATATCTATCATATAAGCTAATTGGATAAAGTCAGTTGTCACTCATCATTTGGTTGCCCATCTGATAAATAGTTTCTTTGGAATGTTTTACTGAACAATTTTGCTCAAGTTTACGAACAGAAAACTGGGTACGAATCCCGCGAGACGATGTCGTGGATATGCACTGCTGAGGAGTCCCACAATAGGACAAAACGGCCGTCCAGTGCTTACAGGTTTTCCCTGGTGGTCTAACTTCAATTGACTCATGCTTTCAACTATAAAAAAACTCTGTGTTCTTTAATGAGCAAATTATAAAAAAGTCATCGATTTGTTAGGGAATAAGTGAAATTTTTCTCAGTTGTTCCTAGTTTCTTTATAAAGTTACATTTTGAAAATAGTATATACAGTCTATTACTTGTATCGAGTAGATAGCAACAACTAATGTCAATATTAATCATAAAAACAGACAAACTGAGATCCTGTTACTTTCACATAAGTCAAGGTATTTTAAATATAAACTGAACTGCGTTCAGGCTGTAAGCTCTTGTTTAAAATCTGACTCGGATATTTTAAAAAATGTACAAAGAGCAGCTATCCGTTCAATTCCAGAACTCCAGGGTTTACCATACAAACAATGGCTTGAAAAGCTGGACCTCTTTACTCTGTCCTATCGCAAACTAAGGGGAGACCTAATTTTTATGTACAGAATACTGAGAAATGATTTTGGACTTAACATATTCTCTCTTTTTCTTCCCACTACATCGGGATATCTCAGGGTAAATATTAGGTGAGTAGAAAAGCCAAGAACGAAGAATGTATCCGTGACATACAGGTTTTAACACCGAGTCATCAATTTTCGGAACCTGTTACCCTAAGTAGTGGTGTCCGCATCTTCAATTGACTCAATCAACAGAACTGGATTGAAGGTAGGTCAAATCAAAAAGTTATGTACTGCTGAGGTGTTTGCGATCCACTAATTCAAGCCCGAACTTTGTGTGCAAACATGATACATCCAACTTCTTATCCTTCCTTGGTCCTAATTCCCCTCTGTAGTACGTTTAGGTCTTGTTTTTTTAAATTAGTGTTTTTTCTCATACCTGCCAAGTGCACAGTTATGTTTCATAGTTCTGACCCGTAAATTATTTCCATCCTCCTATTCTTCTCTAACCCTTTTGTTAATAACGTAACCTTCTTTGGATATTTGAAATCCCAGGTCACTTTATGGTGCAATCTATTCTATCCTTCTATAGACATATATTTACCATGCAACCATCAATACTAATGTACAGCTTAAGTAAATGATTTCGTCGAGAAGAAAAGTTTCTTCTCTGAATTGGCTTTATGTTTACTCACCTGATAATCTTTGGAAACAGATGGCGAAATGAAAGTTTAGTCATTAAAATCACCGGTCGTTTGAAAGGAAGTCAAAATGACAAAATAGGTGTAGGGAATTCATTAGGTAAAAAGTGAATCTATTTCACCTAAGAAATTGAATTCAACTTGAATTATCAGAAGGGGGTTTTGTGGAGATTTTAGTAATTTTATGTAGTTGAGATCATGAGTCAATGGAAGCTAGACCAACATGGAAAACCTGGAAGCACTGGACTGCCGTTTCCTCCTATTGTGGGACTCTTCAACAATGCACATCCACGATCCTGCCTCGCGAGATTCCGACCCAGGACCTATCAGACCACAAAACCCCCTTCTGATGATGATCATACGCTCACTAGTGAATGGCTCCATGTGGTATTTCTCGTAGTTCTGGTGAGAAGAAATAACCAGTTGAGTTCAACCAGGTCTGTTGGAGATATCAACTCACTGAAGACATTGGTAAATGGTTGCTCAATTTCGTGGATTGGTTTAAGTTAGTCATTAACACCATTGGATGCCGGCCGGCCCAGTGATCTACCGGTTGTGCTCTGGCGCGAGACTGATAGGTCCTCGGTTAGAAACTTGTGATTTGGGATCGTGGATGTGCATTGTCGAAGAGTCCCACAATAAGAGGAAACGGCCGTCCAGTGGTTTCAGGTTTTCCACTGTGGTCTGGCTTCAATTAACTCATGATCTCTATTTAAATTGTTGATAGTTTACACAATAAAAAAAAATAGTTACATTGTGGGTGGAGGGTAAGAGTAACATATACTTGTTCAACTGATACACAAAGATCTGTGCAAAATCTCAAGTTCTACAACCGATGAAAACTAACGAAACTGATCGATTGATCAGGCCTTAATAGGTAGTGTAGGACTGAAATCTGTTGATCACTGGATCAAATTAAAGTCCATAAACCATTCTATCTAATTACTAATTGAGATCCAAATACATATAGACGCCAAATAATAAGGCATTACATTTTACAACAGCTAATTGTAGGTATATTAATCATATTTAAGTAAAAATGAAACTACGGAAGAAAATATGAAAGCTAGTACACTATATTCTTCAAATTAGTCAAGAAAAGCACGCTCATGTTGTTACGGGCGAGACTATAATTTATGGACGAGCCGATGAGAAACGTGTAAGGGATTTCAAGGTCACGGCTCCAATTTCAGTACCTGGTGCTCATGTACTATCGGTTCACAGAGAATTATAGAGAAGACTTGACAATCAAGCGGCTACAACAAATGAGACTACTAAGAAGTTCCTGTATTTGTAATTGCGGTCATCAATTGACTTGTAGACTTTGTGCAGACTACCCTGATGATGTTATCTTTCAATGTAACATATGTTGAAGGGAGACATTAGCCACAATAGGAACCTTTATCGCTCGATCCAGATTGAGACTAAGGCATATTATAATAATTGCCGCGAACTGTATATGATAAAAGCACCAGTAATATTGACTGCAATAGTCGCAGATGTTACTTAAGCTTCGGCTGTTCAGTCGTATGAGTATTGTAGGGACATATCCATAATAAAAATGATAAACTTACACAACCGGAGTACACACAAACAATATTGAAGCTATGTGGTTAAGGCTGAGAGGGTTTTTATGACCTTATCATGGCCCCAGAGACCAACTATTATGGAGCCATATGAATGAGTTCCTCTACCTTATGCATTACGATTTTTGAATCTTTGAACCTCTTTCTAACCTTAACAAGTTTTTTGGACCATATAAAAGAAGTGTATCCACTTTAATTCTTTGGTTTTGTATAATCAATGTTTGCTCTGTGCTGACTGTTTCCTGATTGACTAACATTTCTCAAGGTCATTCAAGATCCGTTCAAAGGTCGTCCATAAATTGTAGTCTCGCCATTCTTACCTTGTTTAAATTGGCTTCAAGACTGCACTTAAGGATATGTGTAGTAGCATTCTTGGTGCAACTTTTGAGAAATGTAAAGCTACCAGCATGAAGGAAACGGTCCAGTTATTCAATGATCCTTCGATTACTAGTTACGAACCGTCTGACAGATTAAATCATATATCAGAATAGAATAAACAGAATTGATATTAAAATGACAGACAAAACTTTAGAATCTTACCCAGTTTGAAGCGGAAAAAAACCCGGTACTGCAGTGTTAGCTGAAACATGAGAAAATAACATACTAGACAATTTACTTTGAAACGGAGCAGTTAACTTCATACAAATATCAGGTTATAAAAGAACAACAAAGGAACAAGAGATTAAAATAAGTAACAGGCAGAATCCAAGCTATTCCAGTTGATGAATGAAGTAAATAAATATGAGAATAAATTCTTCACAGATGAAAGGTCAGTCAGTCAGCTACAATGTAGAACAACGCACATTTATGCATCGATCCAAGTTACTATACCTCGTTAGCACAACTAGATGAACATCAAATTTATAGAAATAGGTAATTTAGTGGTGGTAATATATAAAATATAGATTGTATATAAGGATATACTACAGATGAAAGGTGGACAATTACAATGTTGAAAATTACTTTGATCAGTAGAAGAATACGAAAGAAGCCTTCCATAAAGATCTTATTATCAATCAATGCAACAATATAATCTACGAACTCAACTAAACCTAATAAAGAGGTAAATCAATTGTAGCAAACAGAAACTGATCATATAACAGATTGTATAAATAAGTGGTACCAGCTATGAAAAATTTAGTTCCATATGTCATTGTAGGCAGCCATTTTGTTAAATAGGTAAATTAGTTATTATTGAAATTTATGTACAGTTATTGTGCTTCAAATAACATGACTGGCTCCATGAGGTAATTCCTGGAATTCTAGTAAGAAGTTGTGACCAGTAAAGTTAATCCATGTCAGGTAGAGATAGATATCTACCTCAGTACAATGAAAGTTGGTTGCGCAATTTCGTAAATTGGTTGAGGTTAGATATCAACAGCGCTGGATAACTGCTCAGTGGTATGTCGGTTAAGGGCTCTGCAGCGAGACTTGTAGGTCCTGGGTTCGAATCTCGCTCTCGAGGCGGGATCGTGGATGCGCACTGTTGAGGAGTCCCATAATGGGACGAAACGGTTGTCCAGTGCTTCCAGATTTTCCATGTTGGTCTAGCTTCCATTGACTCATGATCTCAACTATACACAATTAATAAAATCTGAAAACAGTAGACGGCCGTTTCGTCCTTTTACGGGACTCCTCATCAGTGCGCATCCACGAACCCGCTTTCGCGAGATTCAAACCCAGGACTTACCAGTCTCGAGCCGAAGCCCTTAACCGATAGACCATTGAGCTGGTAACAAACGGTGTTAATGTCTAACTTCAACTGATCCACGAAGTTGATCAACCATTCACCAATTGTCTTCAGTGAATTCTTATCTCACGACAGACGTGGTTTGCACTCCACTGGTCACTGCTTCTCACTAGAGCTCCTGGATGTACTTCTCGAAGTCACTAGTGAGCATATGATTATATTAATTATCAAAAGTGACCAGTGGAGTTCAAAACCGCGTCTGTTGTGAGATAGGAACTCACTGAAGACAATTGGTGAATGGTTGATCAACTTCGTGGATCAGTTGAATCTAGACATTAACACCGTTGGATGCCAGCTCAGTGTTCTATCGGCTAAGGGCTTCGGCTCGAGACTGGTAGGTCCTGGGTTCGAATCTCGCTCGCGAGAGCGGGTTCGTGGATGCGCACTGCTGAGGAGTCCCATAATAGGACGAAACGACCGTCCAGTGTTTCCAGATTTTCCATGGTCGTCTAGCTTCAATTGACTCACACTTTCAACTATAATAAAATCTCCCCAAAACCCTCTTCTGATAACATGAAATCCAATTCACCTGTCTATGGATTACAATGCTCTTTTATCCGAACCTAAAAAAGAAGTACCTTGGATCCAATGGTCTTAAATCAATTAGAAGAGAAAAATCACTGAAGTAAATTTCATGTGAAATGATTATCATCAGTACCAATTTATCATATCCACCTTATAGTCTAAATAAGATAGCCTTCAGAGAAAGACCTAAACTTGAAAGCATAGCCAACTCTCTGAGGAACCATTTTCATTAGAAAAGCACTACCATAATCTGAACTTACATATTGTTCAAAAAGAGTTGTTAACCAACAAACTAATGATTTTCCTCAGACTGAATGATCATCAAATATTTTAACTGAAAATTTAGTCTACTTATATTTATATAAATAGTTAAAAAGGATTAGAACAATTTTGTTTCGGAAGAACCAGTACTGCACAAACTGTTCGACGATATTAAAATCTTATGAACATGTTACTTAGTACTATTCATATGTTCAACTGAACTATTTTGAACTCACTAATAAAATAAAAAGAGTTTACACTTAAAGTCAAAGGTATTTTCATAGTTGAAAGTGTGAGTCAATGAAAGTTAGACCACCATAGAAAACCTGGAAGCACTGGGCAACCGTTTCGTCTTATTATGGTATTAAGCAAACAGTGCGCATCCATGGTCCCGCCTCGAGACATTCGAATCCAGGACCTACCAGTCTCACGACAGAGTATTTAAACTCTAGAACACTGAGCCCGCATCCAAGGTGTTAATGTTTCACTTCAACTGATCCACGAAGTTGAACAATTGTTTAATTGACTGACGCTTTCAACTATGAAAATACTAAATCTCCACAAAATCCTTTCAAAAGTATCTCTCTTTCTTACATAAATCTTTCACTTTAGTATATATACATACATCTTATACATTTAAAGTGAAAACAATATGTAACTGTACAATAAATTTCCTTTTTTGATATACATTCTTATGAATATCCATTTATTAGTTAAGAGAAGTAGCTTAACATGAATATTGTGTGACTTGTAACGATATACATTGGAATTAAGTGGGGAATGAAGACTACATGTAAAGTAGGCAGATAATTGTAAATTAGTTGAACCTGGAAGATATTATTCATTCGCTTTCATAGTAAAATAAACATTTTGCAGAGTAGTATCTTTATACGTATGTGTGTTAGATAGGGGGAGAGGAGAGGGAGGGAAAACAATGGAAAAGATAATATATTTTGTTTTTTTTTCCATACATGGAACGTCAGTAACAAGCACATTTCTGTAAATGGTCATTTATATGAATTTACATCTATAATGATTTACTGTATAGAATGATAAATAGTAAATACGTTAACGAGAAACACTATAAATAATAGTGAAATATATACAGATATATCTGCTGTTTATCCGCTTTTCAGGGCTTTAGTGGTTTATTTGACTTTGGTTTGGTATGCAAGTTTATCACTTAGATTTATTTATTTATTTATTTGAACACATAAATACTGGTTAAAGGGGGCACCAGATATATATGCGCCACACAAATCTCATTTGATTTGTATGAGGGCTATGGTACTGAACGGGTGCCCAAACCGAAACAGGTGGTTTTCTTAGGAGGTCACATCCCGAGCCTTTGACCTAAAGATCTGATCCACAAGGCAGTGGAGTATCGTAACGAGATGCAGTCCCATGGTAGCCAGTGACCAACAATTGATTCATACACCATTTGTTCCCTCAGGATATTGGAGCCCATGCGTACCATTGGTTTGGAATGAGGGTTTTCCAACTCCCCTAGGTGAACTTTCCGTGTCCATCGACCCGGTTAAAGCGCTGGATATTTGCTTTTCGTTTCCTCCATTTCTTAAAACACACCCTCGCCACGATAAGTAAGTAGGACTTCCATGGCAGAGGCTATATACGCCTGGCCATGGGAGAGCGGAATTTTCCCACTCGCGGCCGTAACAGGGTATTTGGGAGCTTATTACCATCATCATCGTTCATAAGGACGATGAAAGTTCCATGACCAAACCATCTAGCTCAGAGAACAAAACTCCATCAAAATCATCCACTTGAGCTACAAATCTCCACCATCTAATTAATTAGTATTTCACTCTTATTCATAGTTGTATGCTAATGGAATCTTAAAAAAAGAATCATTTTGAACCACTTCATGACCATCCCCTTCAATAATCAACTTAAGTAAATAAAGTGATTGATTCTAGGTATAACATAACCCAAATCTCTCATATCGACTTGTTTACACAGACAAATGAATAAATATTTAGTTGTTCAGTAGATTGTTTTACATTAAAGCAAACAAGAGGCTAATGAAATTCGGTTTCACGATTCACTTTTAAAGCTGATCCATGGTTGCCTATTTCGGCTGGGAATGGTAGTTAGATGAGAAGACTAAAAGGAGACAAAGCACTACACGATATCAACCAACATAGCCGTCGAAGATTGAAGATTATATGAAAATCGTAGACATTAACTATGGTTCGTTTCTCAATCTTTAGTTTTAACATTATCCTGGTACTCCTCATTACAATATTGTATCCATTGTTCTTGAATGATATTTACTATAGTTAAGCTTCTAATTCCACTACAACACATACATTGACTTGTTTCACTTTCATCCAGTTAATTTGTTTTATCCCCGTGATGATATGTCATGGCTTCCTGGATCGATGTATAATTGTGGCAGAACCTACAGTTTTGATGAATAACTCACTAATCAGTCACTGCTTCTACTAATGTGGCTATCTTAAACTTTACTGATTTCCTAATCAATTCCATTATAATGCACATTTTATTTCGACAAACGACATCATCAAAGTTGGTTGTCTTTTTTGTCAAGGAACATTTAAACGATTTACTTTTCATTCATTTTTACTACCTTTTACGTAATTCATATAATTTCATGTATTACGTAATGTCTGACTGAATAATCGGCATAATTCTTGATAATACTAACCTATATCTCATAGAGAATGACTTGCAAAAGTAGGTAACGTTAGGAAACTAGGAACTAATCAAGTTGTCTAAGCTTATTATGCTTATCATGAGAGCACAATTCCATGTGAATGAATAAGGAGGAAATAAATTTTTTCTGATCTCCAGTTTCTCAGATATTTATCTACTCCAGAAAATGATTTTACAACAAACAGGGAGAGATCGAATACTACCCGGGTGCCAAAATCGAACCAGGTTGTTTTCTTAGGAGGCCAAACCACGAGGTTTGATCCATAAGGAAGTGGAGCAACGTTAGTTGATGCAGTTTCATCGTAGCCGATGACCAACAATGGGTTCATACACCATTCGCTCCCCCA